GTGGAAATTAAGTGTATTGCAAAGTTGTATTCAGAAAGAATAAACCAGTTTTATTTAAGAAAGGACTTATATCGCTAAAGTTTCTTCGGAAATAATTTTTACGGAAAATTAACTAACGAACAGAGACGTAACAGTGTTTTTCACATGATGTTAGAAATATACTAGGAGAATATTTTAGCTACATTTTGATCTCAATGTTGGCCTCAGATATTGAACCATCATCAAACCAAAACATTTCAGACACAGCGAGAAAAAAAAATGCACAATCTGAAAATAGCACAGCTTTGGCAATTAATAACAGAATCTTTTGTTTTTTCTAGGTAATACAATGTGTACTAAAATGAACCTGGAAAATGGAATGGCTAGAAGAATAACTTTGAGTAATTCATCAATTCCATTCCACAAGAAATGTGTAAACATTTAATTGAGAATTTTGCAGTATGTTATGGCTCCAAAAATACAAAACCTTGGTGGCGCACACACTGAACAGATACACTTTAGACATACTAACTGAAAACTCCAGGGTGTGGTCTGTAAGCAGTGAAAGTTGTCAAGTGGTATGGCATTTATTAATTAGTCCCAGTAGTATTCCATCTATATAAAAGTCACAATATTTGGAAAACATTTTAGAAACTTACAAACCTTCATTAAAAATAAACTTTTTTCAATTTTTGAAAACTATCCATGGTGAAATCTCTTTCCAACAAAAATAACATAAAACATCATGTACAGCTTTAGAGCAGAATGGAAAAAGGTAAGTTCCTTAACTTTATCTCAATTATGTTAAGATATTATATACAATGTATGGCTACTTTATTAAGAAGAGGGAGAATGTTCTTAATGTTGTGTAAATCCATCCTGTTTAGTTAACTGTCACTGTCCATGTTGGACCTACATGGCATGTTTTTCACCAAAAAATAACTATCAGCCCTTTGCATTTTGTTTAGAAAAAGTGTTTTTATGAAATATTCTTTATATTTGGCAACTCAAAAAAATATATCTAATTAAGAGAAAATTATAAAAGTAGAGACAAGTTAATTTTTATGTAAGAGAATAATTTTTTTTTATTAGATCTGTAAAGCTTTATTCAATGCATTGAGAAAACCATTCTGGTGGTTTTAACATAAAGATTCTTCTTGTATGCTTCTAATTTTACCTGAAAAAAACATCATTGACAACAATACAATTTTTCTAAAGTTAAGAACATATCTTTCATTCTCTTCAACCAGCTATAATATAGAACAAGCAGAAAATTAATTTCTATGATGTGATGAGGGTAATTGGGAAGGGTGCACAAAAGTCTGAATGTATGTCCATTTATAACTGGTAAACTGCTGGATCAATTGATACATTCCTGGCATGTATCTTTAAGGTCCTACTGGGTGTGACATGTGAGGGAAAGTCCCATCTGACCCTCTATGTCATCTCCATATGGTTTTCTATGTTTACCATGTGTGTTGAATAGGTACCGAGTACATCAGCTGATTAATATTATTTGCAGGGTCTGGGAGTGTCTGTAACCATAACTGAAAAAAATGGATCTGTCCCAACTTTGCATCTTCAACAGGAGTAAGGAGGGAGCCATTTAGAGTAGGAAACAAGCAGGTAATTATTTTTTTAAACTAGAAGACTCAAACAGTCTGGAGAAGCTCAAAATCTTATATATTTAGAGACATTTTGTATTTTTTTCTTTTTATTGGTTGTAGTGGTTAATAATGAATGAAGATATTGGGGAGAGAATAAATTTAATGGGAGTTTGGATACTCTACTTTAGATACACCATTAGGTATCATGAATGAGAAATAAGCAACAAACTTCAGCTACAATCCTAAGTATAACTCTGTAAATTAAACTTTAAAAATTAAATGTTTAAATAGCAATTGGATTAGAGGTTACAGCTTTTTGTGTCTTGAAATTTGAATAATACAGACTGGCTTCCTTACTTGAATTTCACTCTTCGGGAATTTATGACCAAGAATATCTGGGGTATCACTATTAAGTAATGATGTGACAAATATTTTACATCTGAAGATATGGTAAGAATCAAAATATATAATTTTATTATTATACACATACACCTGTTATCTTCCATTCGAAATTTCGAATACTCATTATTCTTGCAACTCATAAGAGTTAAAATGAAACTTGAAATTGAGGGACGATCTCAAACGATTCATACTACTTATTAGAACGGTCTATCACGAGTAAAAACAAGATTATTCTTATTCCTTAATTAATCACCAAGATTTTCAACGTCATAAGACAATCATTTTACCTGGTGGAGCTTTCATTAAAATGACAGTAACTATTAAGATTATTTTTAAGTCATCTACATGAAAGTTGCAAGTTTACATTTTTAACAGATTCTGACGTCATTTGTTAACAGAGTTAGCGCTGCGACATCTATCACAATCAGTGTTTGTTAATCTCTTGTGCTAACCTGTCTTTATATTTTTAAACAAGCCAAGCAATGCATCTGATGAAATGTTCAACATCTGTCTGTATTAGTCTTATGGAATACTTAGAAGCTTTCTAATTTATAAGTTATATCCAGTAAAGACAGTTAAAAATAGGACGTGATGAAAAATAAATACACACTGAAAGAGAAAGCGGCGTTTTATGTTAGGAATTAGAAGAGTAAGCAGACGAAGAAGGAATAGGGAAAACTATTGCCGTAAAAAACAAGAAAATATGTACAACTCATTGAAATTTGTACAAGATGAACCATCATACTCCTAAAAAATTCAATAGCACATATGCCTAGAGAAATCAACTCCGCACCCAAAGTAACAGGTTCATCCAGATGTATCAACATTAATGAGGGCATGATATAGGATAGTAGGATATAATTATATACTCATTCGAAAACAGTGGTACCGGTTCTTGAAAATTCAGATAAGGTGAAGTAAAGAAATATCTCTAAAAGAAGACTATTGCAATAATTAAACATTGCTGGTAGAAAATAAAAACTTTGGGTTCCAGTAAATCAGATAATGTGAAAGTGTATTGATATTTCTAGAAGTATGACAAATCACAAGTTTAAAAGATGAATAACAGGGACACTTCACAAGGACATTACTAATAGTCCCAGGCAAGGGCGCCCGCAGGAAAAAAAATAGGGGGGTCAAGTAACTCAAGTTTGAAAAAACTATAAAATCGAAATAGTTTTCTTCTATGGAAGACTGGAAGTTGCCATTTTTCTGGCACGGGCTGAATAAATATAAAACTATGATTCGATTAAAATATCTTCTATATTACTGTATCAACGAGAAATAAAAATAATTTAGATACTAATAATATTATTGTTAATATCCCCGTTATTACAATAACATAGAAAAAGAATTTTACATATATAGTATTTTTTTCTTTTCGAAAATCCAGAGCGGCAGTCAAGTGACCCCCTTGCCTCTTCCTGCGGCGCCCATGGTCCCAGGAATGGTTTTGCAAGCTCTGCAAGGAGAGAAGTCAGTGATTCCAATTTTATATAAAGTGGAATTCAGACCACAAGTGCCCAGAAAAACATGAGTGTAGATAACATCAAATCTTTTGTGCGGAAGTATTGGTGGAGGTTTTTGAAGGAGGACAAGAAGACTACAAACTGAAGTGCACAATAGTAGAGGAGGTACAGCTAAAAGATCAAGAATGGGTTAGATTGTAGAGTAGGATATGACGAAAATCAAAGTACTATAGGGAAGAAAGGCATTAATGAAAGAATACTTTAAAGCTTTTTTGTCAAAATGAGCAGTGCAATCACTGCCACAAAATTCCATATGTCCAAAAACCCGGAGAAATTTAATTTTATATCTGAGATGACTCACTTGAAGGAATAAGAAGAATCATCCCAATATAACAATAATCCGCCGAGAGAGTAAGAATAGAAAACTGATAGTATCCATTTGAAAAAAAAGAGTTTAAAGTGAGGAGAAGCGTAATGAATCCTAGTGAAAATAGTTCAGAACGGGCTAGGAGATGAAAAACCTAAGAAATACTTAAAGAACAAAAAACACATTTACGGGATTATAAGAGACGTCTGTGCTAATATATAAATAACTATCAATAGCTTAGATAAAATAGAGGCGATGGAATTTAAGACTATCATCATGAAGAAGTTTGGTCAATGAAAAATCAACAAAACCATCATTTAACATCCATGAAGAAAGAAAGAAAGAAATAATGGCTAGGGCCTACTGACATCACAGAAACCTGCAAGCTTAATACAGCGCACGTAATCCAAGATATGATTGGGCCAGAGAAAAGAGAGAAAGTGGGATACATGACTAATGTATGAAAGAAAACCTAAATAAACCGAGGATGAAATCCTGGCAAAGACAGAAAGAACGTTAATAGGCAATACTTTGTAGAACAAAAACACGGATAAACTTCATATCATTCTCACAAATGCATAGAGCAGAAAATTGGATATATTTAATCTGATGCAAGGGAGAAGAACTGGCAGTGAGATAAAGAATGCTGCTCCAGTCCAACTTTGACTGGATAAAATAACAGAAGTAGAGCAATAAGAAAGAATAGCTCCCAAGAGGATCAATGGATAGCTATCAAGATATTTAAGCATTTATCACAACTGGATAGAAGCTCCGTAATATAAAATAACCAGGTTTAAATTATGCCTTGCTTTAATGTATTCCATTTCTGTGGCCTTAAGACATTTAAGGCCCTGTCAAAAACCATTAAGATGAGTCACATCATAATTACTACCTATTCGAGAATAATTTTCTTCTCAAGTGAAGCACTTGGAATAACCCATACCCTGGAAAACAATTTGTCCAAATCTCTGACATTTATAACATTGAATAGGACTAACCACAAAAGAATGAACAGAAAATGTCTCAAAGTCTACGATAAAAGTGAAGGGAAAGGTATGCCATCAAAAGTAACTGCAAACTCTAATTGTTTAACAAAGTGGCATTAACTATAAACGATAGACATTGAACACTGTGAGGGAAGATCTTTGTGAATCTCATTGTAATATAAGTCTGAAAAATACATGAAATCATTCTATGTTGCTCAGTGAAGAGATATGGGTAGTAAGATCGAACCTACTAACCACCAAGTCGTGAAGTAAGCTGAAGCTTTTTAGAAAACTCTTTGCTCTTAAAGCTCATAGCAACTAGCAATTTTCAGGCTTCGACAATAGCTACGAAAAGGAGGATAACTTCTTTGAAAGATTTGGTTAAGTGTAACTAATTACATCTGTTAAGATGAATGTCATTATAATGTAACAAAACAGCTACTCAGTTGCATTAATCAGAATTTTGAATGCCCGAGCCAGGTGGAGGCATGTTCTCTAGACTAGAAAGAGAGGGGTGTCTGCAGAGCATGACAATTTATGACTTTTTTTTTCCCTACTCTGTTGTTTTCACTTTTGGAATTTGTTAAGATTCTAGAGGAGTCAAAAAGATTTTATAATTTTTCATAAATTCCTGTGGCCATGGATGCCAATCCTGAAATATTAATACTTAATAACAATTAAGAAAACTATAAAGGACGACCAAACACAAAGGAAGAGTTAACGCTCCATGCAAAAGGAATTCAAATACCCTGGGGCTACTTAGAGCAGATGAAGAATTTTGTTGGAAATAACAAAATGCCCAGTTAATTTATTACAATTAGTGAAAAATAAATCCTGTGAATGTTGTTGATGATGCTCTTTTGCCGCGAAACAACACAATTGGCTAAATACGTTTCGTCAACTACAAAGAATCAAGCTCCAGGTTTTAGCATTTTGTAACAGATAAGAGAATTATATCAGTAAATATTATAAAAATGAGTCGAAACCTTAAACCTACTAAAGCTAAAGTCAACCACAGACTTCACCTCACAGAAACTTTAACATACAAACTTTGATCAAGTATTTGGAAAGTCTCCAGCAGTGTGTTATGGTAAAAGATGATATTAATAGCTACAAACATGTTTCAGTGTGGTAACGTATAGAATATTAGAACTTTAAAAGTGGACAACCTAAATTTTATTGATGAGTATGCATAGTTGTTTAATGAATAAAGCTTCTTTGATTTTTCTGATAGTTTCACCATTTTCTTTGTGAGTAATATTAGCATCTAAGGCATTTAATGATGAGTAAGTTTTAGATGTTCAGAAATAGAGGTGGCGACGAATGTCTTTTTTTTTAAAGAAAGTTTTAGGCAGTGTGTTGAGACGTTGACTAGTTTCATTAGAACTGCTCCTGTCTTCTCTGTAATTCTGAAGACGACATTTCGGACCATGTGCTGAGTTCTTCATTATACCTGAGGGATTACTTAAGAAGGGATTTATATATATGGATACTAGCGCCATTCTGAGAGAAAGCTAAAAAAGATGTTGATACTCAAATGACTGAGAAAATGTTGGTTTAATCCAGTTTTTCTTTCCAAATTAGTAGATGAGTCTATAATTACAGTAACATGGTCTGGAGAAGGAGTTCCAATACTAACTGGTAAGTTGTGATTATTCTCAAGCGTTTTCTTTAATCCAGTTTTTCATTTTTTTATACAATATGATTTCAGAAGCTGCTGGCTTCCAACCCTGGCATTAGAGGGATATAAAACATTTTAATGAAGAGAATTATTCATACAGCGAAATTGTAATAAAAAATACAGGTCTAAAAATCACAGCATTTCAAAGAAAGGATTATTCAGCGATCTCAAAGAAAGTGGAATATTTCACACAACCGAGCGCTTAGGACAGCAACAGGCTATGAAACAAAAATCCAAGCAACGCCCTCATCTGCAAAGTGAAATATGTGGTTATGAAAGAAGATTCACCAACTCAATTGGATTGAAGCTAGGTGTATGTCCTGCTACCACTAACAAAATAATAACGAAGGGTTTGAAGATGATGAAAGCTTAGAAGCCAAAAGTTGACAAACGTCTTGCTACACCTCGACATCAATGACAGTTTTGATAGAAAAGGCAGGCACAGAAACTGGTAGCAAAGCAATCCCATTCAACAACTTACCTGCTGCATCCTCTCATACGACTCTAATGGACTTTTGTATTTCTGGTTTGCTTAAATCTAGTGTTTGAATCCGACGTCAGTTTACAGTAGGATGTCTATGAAAAGTGTGCTAAGTTGTATGGCCTAAGATTGACCTCACCGTGCTTCGTAAAAGCTTGTTATGATAAATAATGCGGTGTTTAATTATGATCATCAGCCTGAGCAGGAGGCCGTCGATAAAGATGTGTTGCTGTTTTCTTAGTGTAAAGCTATCTAAAGGGCTCTCTGCATTCTGTTCACCGCGGGAATTGGAG